ATAATAGACAGTACCGATCTATCAACTACAATTCGTTGATAAAATTACGCACCTGTTATACATATGAATAGTGAGGAACATTGAGGACGAGACGGGCAACGGTGTGACCAGAAAAGTACAACACCTGCGAGCGACTATAAGCAGTTCACTATCTTAACTGCTTCATAAATTTAAATGTTAACACCTAATATTTTCAGATAAAATTGAAAACTATAGTACATTTATGTGTGCGACCTTCTAGGATTTAAGCGCGTAATCTGCATTCAGCCTGTTTCTGCCAGCTCCCCAGGCCTGCTCGCCACTCGCAATATTAGTCTTAAATGCTTTCAATGCATTTTCGACTGATTAACAGATTTTGTATTCTACAAAGTCGTGTTGTTGCCTTCCCCTCACACAGTTTTGTCAGATACTCTTCCTTAACGAATGTCAACAATGCTTTGCCTGAAGTAGACTTTCGGAACGGAAAACTCGCTTACGCTTCAAAATCAAACCTTGAACTTCTCAGGGGTTTGCTCGTATTGCAGCTATGCACCATAAAGCCTCTTGTTAAATACAACAGACAGGTAAGGGCTGTCAGTGTCTCCATTTGCACACGTCATAATTTTCATGTTTTTTGTTTTTCTTATTCTCTTTCTCAACCCATATATCTAATGCTAGGTAAAATAACTTGCTTCGTTTGGCTTTTATATTAACTTAGCATAAATCATATACTTTTAAATTTTAGCTCTTGGATTTTGCTAGAAAGCTGCTTGGTAAGCGGCTTTTCAGATACCTTCTTAAATCCACCATTTACGCCCACTTTGTTGGTGGAGAAAACAAGGACGAATTAAAGCCACTTATTTCTCTTAATCGTAGTTTTGGAGTTAACTCAATTTTGGATTATAGCGTGGAACAAGATATTAACGAATCTGAGGCTGAAGAAAAAGTCAGGTAAATTTATTTTACCAACTGCAATAGTTGCTATGCCAAAAGTTATTTAATTTTGCCTGTACTTAAATTCTATCATCTGCATCTGATTTGAGTATTCTAATGCGTATAGCTTCATTTGGCGATCGAAAACCCCAACCCCCTTCACCAGTTCTGATTATAAACTTTGTTTCTCACTAGAATGAACACTGAATAAGAAATGCTGTGTATGTATGCATATATAAGGGTTAAATATGCTCTAAGGGAATATAAAAGCAAGGTTGAGTTGAGAGCTTGATGACTGCCTAGAACTCAATGAGGTACTCTGCAACTTTAAATACGAAATGGTTTGATTATTTCTCAGAATTTACTCTATTGCGTATTGTCGAGGGAAATCTAGAATTCATTTCTTATATATATATATATATATATATATACATACATATATATATATATATATGGGCGATATCTACATTTTCTGTTCCTCGACTACCCTGTTACCTTTATTGTCATAGAATCTGAAGGGAAACGTTATCAGAAAGCTGTTTAACAGTTATATCAAGGAGCTTCCTCCTCCTTGATCCTGGATCCTGTTACTGTCGGAGCCTGTCACTCACAGGACGAGTTCCATTCAACCGGGCAAACACTTGAAATTGTATCATTTATCGGATACTTCCATCAAAGAGTAAAGAAGTTCACATAAAATGCTAACGATTTCAGGTGAGATGTAGCGGAACCAGCACGAAGTACTACTTCTATGATGATCAAAACAATAGTAGTTGATTTGAGCCAACATTTATTATTTATTTGCCATGTTTTATTACCTTTAAATTTATGTACCTACTATTCTCTTCAGAATATTTCAAAACTGATTTTAGTCCCAACTTTAATATTCTCCATCAATATGGATGCCTGTAATTCGTGCATACCTTACAAGCTTATAGCATGAAGATCAAATAATTTTTTCAATATCAAGTTTATCATACTAATTACTTTTTGTATGTGTATGAGACTCAATTAATTTATTATAATCTCCTGCATAATAATTATTGCTTAGCTTGATTCTTGATGCCCATTTTTAGTTTTCGCCCATCAATTGATCATTTTCTTTGAATCTTCTGGTGTCAAACTACACTTGATAGTGCGTCTAATTTAAGTATTCAAGCAGTAAAAAATTAATATCATTTTCAATGCAATAGTACCTCTATTAGCTCTTGGTTGCATAACCAAACTGAGATATTGCTCGATATATCAATCGTTTATCATAAATCAAGAAGTCTCGGCTTTTCCACTACGCTTCACTAAATTTTCCATATGAAAAATTTTATACCTTCAGATGCATATATAAATGAGCAATTAGGGGAATCAAGCCACCTAGTCATTTAATCTTAAGTAATTTTTTCTTGCAGCATCATACGCCAAATTATTTGCTTATAGATATATTTTGCCTGACACTCCCGTATCCTCACTACATTGTTATGCTTTCTGATGACCTGGATCCAATTTGTTTATGTTTAGGGATGCCTTGGCTGAGGTTGTTAGAGAACCTGAAATGATACTTCCAGATCCTGTTATTAAATACAGAGCTTCTTTGAAATTTGCGGATCGCTCCAAGGAGGTTGTGGCCGCTCGAACCTATTTTTACGAGTCAGAACAGCAATGTGATCAAAATATGGCCATCTTTAAACAATCAATTGAAGCTACAGCAGATTCTACCCATCAAGAAGGTTTCACGGCAGTTAAGTTAACCGCTCTTGGTCGTCCTCAGCTTCTGGTAATTATTTGCTTGTTTTATATGTGCATACTTTTATTATTGGAATTTCTTTTCATTACTAAATATCGTGGAAATTTGCGTTTTGCCAAGTATTCTAAATTGTGCTATATTAAGAAACGTTAGTCTCCACATGAATCCTCTTTGGTTATCATACTATATAGAGGCTAAGTTATAAGGAAAATAATACTTAATGAAAACTTTTTAAAGCAATATAATGAAGGGCTTTTAGCTAAATAAATATTGCATTTTGAATAGGTATTTGAGGCTCATAACTATAAATAAATATGGCTCGTATTCTTTTTAATAATCCGAGTGTAGATTCGACTACAATTTATATTAAGAATGTTCACCAAACTTTTGGATTCTTCGTCTATTTTATTGTCATGCTGGAAATAATGAGAATATCAGAAGTCAAGGCTCCACTTTTCAAAGCGTGTGAAATAGGCTTGTTCAATAAGCAATTTGCGCCAATTCGTTTTTTAATTTCCATCATAATTTTATATTCTATCCTATTAAGCAATGTCGATTTTACTTATTTTAATTAGCTACAAATGTCAGAGTTTCTTGTCCAGATGGAAAATCTCTTCTATATTCTGGTTGGAAGAACTAAACACGTTACTGGCACTAAACGACCGAACGATGAATTATCCATTCTTCTGCACCATTTAGATGCTGAGGCGTTTAGACTTCGATTAGAAGAACTGGGTGTAGAGATCTCCTACGATGAACATTTGCACTGGTTCACATTGCTGGATGTTTCCAATGATGGGTAACTAACTACCATTACCTGAATACCTCTTGCTTATTGTTATTTTCATACCATTTGGCAAGGTGAGGATGGACGATGTTATCGCCTTATGAATACCTATTTTATCTGGTCCATTGCTTCCCGAAAAGTATTTTTATTCTATGTAGAAAAACTTGTTTTCGAAGAATCCCTTAATAGATTGATGTTGGAATATCTTTTATTTCGCTTGAAGAATCGTGTGGAAGGAAGTTGTAAGTTGGCATTACCGGTAGCTAAAGAGAGATAACCTTCGAGCTTTGACTGTAAATTTGTGCCAATAGGTCCTCAGCGCACCGCCATGTGACTCCGATGGATCATTCGGACTAGCGAATATTATTCACTTTCTTCCGTTTTACATAGAATAAGATCTTCGTACAACTTATTTTTTACTACTAGGCATGAGAATTAGGTATATTTTATTGTTCATTTGTAGCTCATAGTGCGTCCTGGCGGCTCAGTTAGAAATTGATACATTCTGATATAACTTCACTTTTACTATATTTTCTGCTGGTTAAGCAAATTTCGTCCCAATGTTCTATTATGCTACATTTTCATATTATTTTATTAAATATTGGGTTTTATGATGATTTCGAGAACCTTTTTATATTATCAATCTATCCTTCCAAAGTAAGGGCTATGAAACATTGTTTTGGATTTTTCGTTCATAAGTGGGGTTTCGAGACTACCAATAAATCACTTATATGAGATACATTCACCCTATTTCGTTTAGGGTGATGAATGACTGGTAGTTGAATTTTCCCACAATGATATGAATAGAGCTGAGGCTTTTATTGAGTTTCAGTTAGCCTTGCTTTCCCAAAAGATGTTCTTATCCAGAGTGAACTGCAGTTTCCCCTTCGTCTATGTCTTATCAACATCCTCAGCAGGAGTCCAACCATAGCAGTGCAGAGTGTAATCTCGACACGTTAACCACTACCTACATTGCCACGAGTGCCCTTGGGTCACAGAGCAGATGTGAATTTCAAGGAAGGCCAGGTATTTTCCAATATCATATTCTTTGGGGAAATTGTCGATTGTGCAAAGTTATATTTGCTATAGGAATCGTTTACATTATTTATTTTCCGATCATAACTACGGTTTTGAGGCTACCAGTAGATCAATTATATTAGATGTATTCACTTTATTTCAATTGTCATTCCTTAAACGTAATAGAATGAATACATCTCATATAAAACTGATTTACTGGTAGTTTAGACACCTTACTTGTGAACGAAAAATAAGTAACGTGGTCGATTGCCATAGCAGATATAACTTTGCTTCATCGACAATCCCACCAAATAACATGATATTGGAAAATGTCTGGTCTTCCTTGGAATTCACATCTGCCCTTTGACCCAGGGGCACTCGTAGCAATGTGTCGTAGTGGTTAACGTAGTGAGATTACACGCTGCATTGTCATTGTTCCACTCCTGCTGGGGGTATTAAGAAGACCTAGGCGGGGTCGAAACTGCACTCCACCCTGGATGAGAACACCTTTTAGGAAAGCAAAGCTATGCGAAATTCATTGGAAACGTCAGTTCTATGCATATCATTGCGGGTAAATTAAACTTCCAGTCCTTTATCACCTTAAACGAACTAGAGTGAATACATCTATACAATTGTTTCGGATATTTGTAATTCATTTATTCCTTCAAATTCTTTTTTGGAAGAGCATCACTAGTAAAAATAAATATATCAGAATATTCGATAAAAGAGGGGTTGCGACTTGGGTGAGTCCTGGCTGTCTTGAATATTACATCTACCTTGTGATCCTTGACACCCATGTTACCCGAACTTTTAAGCGAACCAACAAATAATGAAGGTATGTTCAATAGCTTACAATCAATTTAGTTGCAGCGCACGTGTCTATTCTCAACTGTTAGATATAAACTGAGATAAAGTAGGAGTAGAAGCGATACAAAATTGACAATAAAACTATTATCCTCATGACATAATCACTCGGACATGGAAAAGGTGCACAGATAACTCCGATCATTGCGCTCATTAACCTTTGTTTTTGTGCA